AAACCCCTAAAACCCTACACCCTACTAATTAGTTGGTTTCCATTCGTCCCTTTAGAAAGAGCTGCAGGAGCTACAAGGCGGCAAGAAAGAGATCACCACCCGGCTGCAGCGCAGCAGAAACCGAAGCCTCCCCAAAAATGTGATGAGAACCTACTATAATGGAGAATCAANNACTGGGATTATATAGGGGATTCTATAGGGATTAGGGTTTCCCAAAATTAGGGGTACCTTTTTAGGGGTCCTTATAATAAGGATTATAGTATTTTGGGGTCTATATTGGGGTCCCCTATTTAGGGAAACTACCAATTATTACGTAGATTATAGTATATTATAGTTATTGTGGTATATAGGATACTTGTAGCATATTAAAGTACATTTTAGCTTTTATGGTAAAAATGTGATGAGAAGTTAACTATTAGATGCCCATCATTTTCAAGTTGAGAAGCCGATTCTAACCCCTATAGTAATGTAGGGTTTCCCATTTTCTTGTCATATTTTACTACTGTATACCTGAGGAGGACCCCCCACTCTGTAATAGTGGTATAATAAGAATGTAAGAGGGCCCGAATATAATCCCTACTATCCCTTATAGTACCTATTACTGGGTGAGGGGTCCACCAAATGAATATTATTCTCAGGTTGGGAAACACCACCCATTATCCTCTTCAATATTTTGCGGTTTATAACGGTAGCCTACATAGACAATATTTTGGTGTCGAAGGCTAGTATTACGGATCTCCGGGAGGTTTGGAGTTGCGGAAAAAGAGTTGGGCTCACAGGATCAGATCTTTGCGAAATTGGTGGCGTTTGTCGTAAATATTCGGTTGATACAAAAATCCTGCGAGACCCTTTGTACCATATCCGTTGGTAATTACAGTGTTTTGGTACATGGCAGTCATGCAGGACCTTTGGTATCAACAGTTGGGAGGCACTGTGAAGCAGTCTTCATTGCAACAGCTTCGGGCTTACAGCGTCCAAGGTTCACGACCAAGTGTAAGCTGACTCATAACAATCTTGAAAAGAAGCAGAGCTACGCAGTTGTAGTGGCGTCATTCTTCGCTTTGAACCCTTTGGGGTGGTCCGGCTGTTGCCGGGAGGTAAGCAACTGACTCAACCCCCGAACATCTCAGAAACAGGGCGCAGCCCCTACGCCCTTGCGCTTCAAAAATGAGGCATAGGACCACATCGCAGATTGCGGTGGCTTCGCAGCTGAGGCAAAGGGGAAGAGCTTGCGATGTCAAATGGGCTAACTGCTAACTCATGGGGATCTGGTTATAATGTTGGTCAATTCCATAGCTTTCAATTTAAAGTCCTGAACTCACGTGGTCGCATGTGGATTTCAGCCCTGGTCCGGCTTGGCTCTTGGCTTGAAGGGCAGTGCCTATTTGGGCGGAAGTAGTCGTAGAGCCCTTGCCGGCAGCCAACCGGTATTTGGGGAATATGGATTTCTGGAAGCGCGAAGCTGCCGCAGGGACTGTGGGCAAATGACGCAAACTCTATCAGTGTAACAACCATTATGATGATGATTACTATGGCCACAATACTCATCATTATTGTAACTGCTATTGTTATTACTTTTACTACTGATTAACTGTAGACCCCAAACCCAGCAAGTCAGGAACGTTTCTGGTGAGACGAGAAAGCATTTGGAGGTCTGCCAAGCGAAGCAAGAGGACCTGGCTTCAGGGTCTAGGGGTTTAGGGTCTAGCTTTTGCAGTGGCAACGGAGTTTACTTACTGGGGGTTACTGAGAATAGGGGAAAAAATTGTAGGGATTAGAAAGGGATTCTATTCCCTTATTCCCAACTAACCCCCAGAAGTTTAGGAGTGTAGTGCTTTGGCGGTTCAAGCCACGGGGATGTACCTTGGATCCAGGGTTAATGGGACAAATGGTAGTTTCCCAAAATAGGGGGACTCCAATATAGACCCCCAAATACTGTAATTAATCCTTATGAATAGGGGGACTCCAATATAGACCCCCAAATACTGTAATCCTTATGAGGGGAACCCCCGAACTAATACCCCTAGTTTTGGTCAAATAGGCCGCAGTGCTTCTTGGGCTTCCTCTTAGGGACTCTGTCATGATTAGGGGCTGGGGGTAACCCCAAACCCTAAACCAGCCATGGGTGTAGAGCTCAAAATGCTCCATGTCTTTGAGCCTCGCTGACTTTTCCGCGGCGCAGGATGCGCGAACGAGGATCATCCACCGCAGCTCGGCAAGGAAGGATTGGGAGCACGGAGGGACCCTTCATAAAGAGGCTGTAGTTTCACGGAGTCATCATGAACTTACCTCACATCACCCAACCCCCTGACATGAAATACTCCCTAAGCTATTGGTTCTTACTGAGGAATCTAGGGGATATAATCCCTATGTAGTCCTCATTTATTCCCTACTAACCCCCCGTAAGCTAAGTAGCCGTAGCGGAATCTATTTACTATCAGGGTAGCAGTGTCTTGATGTTCGGGTGGAAGTGATCAATCGCGGTAGTTTTGAGTGAGTTTATCTGGGCACCGCTGAACCATACTTAGAAGATTGTTCAGCGATGGCTCATAGGTGCTGGATTTTCCAACCCCTGAAGCCTCAACTGTGCAAAGCCCCAGACAGAATGGACCCGACCAGTTGCCAAATCTTAGGCTTGAGCCCCACGTGTGCCTTGAGTCTCGGGAAATCCTGAAATTAGACCATTGGCCACTGCTGAATAGACCATGTAGATTTTCGCGGTCCTCAGACCCGGTAAGAAGTGTAGGGTTCAGGGTAAACTTTCCCCAAGATTTAACCAGAAAGCCTGTGCTCTGCAAGGTCTGGAGCTCTATTGCGCGGAAGGAGGCATGCTGGATGTGGTGCCATGGCGCATATTTCGTCTCCATTGCTGCGGAAGATGTCTACAGGTTGAGAATTTGGGGCTTACAGATCGCAAGTATCAACGTGTCCCAAAGCCAAGCGTCCTTTCTTGCTAGCTCGGTGTTCGGATCTGCAATTTCAAGTTTACCGTTTAGCCCTGTAGCTTGGGCCCCTTCTCTCTGGCCCGGTATATGGTACATCTCATCGCTTAATGTTCTATAAGTGGTCCGTTTGTGGGCTCCTTCTTGGACGTGTATATCCAAATGTATCTCTTGGTATCATGTAAGCGGTCCCTCTCTTTTGAGCCATAACCTAAACTCCTTAAAGGGGGTTATATAAGGGATTATATAGAGAACTACTACGGGGGCTACTAAGGGGGATACTAGGAGTTTAGACTATAGCTCATTTTGATTATGGGATTTTGTTGGTCTGCCAGCAACAAGAGACGAGAGAAAGAGAGAGAAGGTGTGGTTGGTATTTGTGTGCATGTGCCCAACCTCAGCTTATCCAGCAGACTTGGTGGGTTTAGAGTACAGACGTGGTGGCGATGCCAGCAGTTCATTGCGGCAGCGGTAAAACTTCTTTCGCACAGCTGCTGGGAGTAGCTGAGAGGCCCATACGCTGAGTCGCTGCAAAAGTTTAAAAACTAATTCGTTAGGTCCCCTTTCGTTTGTAATCCAGGGACCCTGTGTATGCGCGGCATCCGGGTCCTCAGCAGTGCCGACTGAAGTGGACTGCGCGCTGCACCAGCTCGGGGCAGTGCCCCGCTCCTTCGATGCGGAGGAGCGCAGAGCTACGAGAAGAGGAAGTAGAAGAAGAACAGACACTCCATATTCTATCTACTTAAGGGGGGATATAACCCTAAACCCTATATAACCCATCATAGTAATTTCCATTTTCTTTTCCATAATCCCCATATGAGAGAGAGAGAGAGAGAGAGAGAGAAACGATGGTCATACGGCACACTGTGGACATCCGGAGTTTTACCTTTGTGCACACACCACCGCCGCCGCCGCCGCCTGCACCTATGGTGCTTGTGCTGGTGGCGGCGGCGGCGACATCACACACAGACGCACCTGTTTGCATTTTTGTGTTGAAGGAAGAGAGGGCAGAGGGAATTCAATGGCGATTTGAATGATTTAGGTTTCTTGCTGTGCTCTGTTGTGCAGTAACGTTACCGCTCATGGGTTGCGTCTTCTCTGGAGGCCCCTGGGGTCGTCACACATGAGTGTGGAGCAATCCCATCTTGCAACTGCAAGCAAAGACACGTGATACTGATTGCTTCGACCCCTGCAAAGTGTGACCTCAGGCAGCACAAGATATCCGCACCACGTCCGACAAGAAAGTGATCGCAGCCTTCCCGCACCCTTTGGGCTGGATTTTACCGGGCTGCGGCTTCATACCGGAGGGCACTACAAATAGGTCCGGGTAGCAGCAATAGCCGCTATAAGCCAAACAAAGCAATGCAACGCATTTAGCACTGGCCGCAGCATAGTCCTGGATGTTGCGACGAGGAATGGTTGTTGTCTCACGGGTTTGCTTTGGCTATTGTGGATAGAGGTGTATGTGCAGGGTTGTTGTATTGCAGGGGCATGCGTTGATTCTTGAAGCCGGCAACCTCAATTTTCCTGAACGCTGAACTAGGAAGGGGCTTGTGGCCATTGCAACGCGATGACATATTGATCCCCTCCCTTAATATCAAACTCCCCCGCCCCCCTCTAATATTAAATACTCCCAACATATTAGAATATACCACATGATGAGATTATTTACTGTTAGGGGGGTGGGGGATTAAATGCTAGGGGGAGGGGATTAGACCGTTGCTTTAAGGCCTCATGGCCCGCACGAATTCTACGATAATCGTGCAATGTCTAGTCTGCCGGGACTTTCTGCAAATGGCCTGACAACATGGCCGAATGGCAAGCAGTTGTGAATAGATTGTTCTGCTACCCCTGAATCCCTACTGAACATTGGCTTACAATAATGGGGATCGTCATTTTCATGTCAATGTATCTAGGTCATGTTGTGGGTACTCCCCTCCCTTGACCAACAACCCTCCAAGCATTGTCCTGAACGGCTCTGAGACGGAAAGATCAGAGGATTTGACCTGTTTAGGGTTTCAGGTTTAGGGTTAAGGGTTTAAGGTTTAGGGTTTAGGGGTAGTGTTTAGGGTTTAGGGTTAGTGTTTAGGGTTTAGGGTCACCTTGCAGGAGCGGAAGCCAAAGCCGCCCCTGAAGCCGTAGACTTCTAGGCGCCAAGACTTGATGCTTATCCCACGGAGTACCCGTTGCAATTTCTCCAGAACTCCAACTACGGCGAGCCCCCAATGAATCTCTCATCTGCCCCAAGAAATTCTGTATAATAATCCCTATAGAATCCCCATATATACCCCTGTATGGTACCTGTATTTGGGGGCTTAATGGTTCTGGTCCCCCAAAGGGGGTTGGTAAGGAGAAATCGTCCAACCTGCTGAAGGCGGGACTGGCGGGTCCAGGTCAGAGTTCCTCCGTGTCACTTTTAGGGTTAGGGCTTAGTAAGGGCTTAGGATTTATTAGGCTTTAGGGTCTGTTTGTACTATACTCTGACTTGGGTTAGGGGATTTTATCGGGTTACTAAGGGGGAGACTGGGAGAATGGATGATAGCTCATTTGGAGTTCGAAAACGAAGGGTCACATTATTTGAGCTCTAGTTACACCGCTCGTTTCGAGAAAGACCTCACAATAGAGGGGTACCTTGCTTGTTACTGTGACGTTTGCTCTGTTTTCTGGCACAAGACAAAACGAAACTGGCCGGTGCATGAGGCTGGCCCCCTTTTCCTTGCTTCTTGGCATTAAAAACAAACTCAAAACTTGATTTAAAAAAAAAGTGCGCATGAATCTGGATGCGAAAATCGGATCCAAAATTTTCTGTAAAGATCTACAGGCAAAGGTTTTATCCGAAAAGAAGTTGTTCATAAAAATCCAGAAGCAAAAACCATACAAGAAAGCGAATTCTCATGATACTCTGGATATTGATTCTCTGGAAAATCAGTTTCCCACCCCCTTGGAACCGGATCTTTGCGGACTCTCATTTCCTCATCTTTTCCTGGGTTTGTATCTTGAAATAACTTTTCTCATCTGTTTCCTGCATCCTGATCTCTCTAGACCGTGAGAACATGGGAAAGCGAAACTTGAATAGAGATCCCCATTCAGGAGGACCATGAGGAAAAGAAACGTTCGGCAAAAATCGGGGGCAGGAAGATCGTGGAAAGTTCATGTGGACACAAGCAAAATCCAATTCCACGACAATCAGGAGGATAATTGAAGATATTTTGTAGAGAGTTCAAGAAATCCAACACCAACAAAGTTCCTGTACAGATTCGATTTAGGAAGATTTAGTAATCAAAGTTTGCTGAACAGATCCAGATTCTGGAAACTCATGAAGAAAAGTACACAGATCCAGATCCAGCAAGATCATGAAACAATTCATAAGAAAATTTTCTTCAAGAATCCAAAGTCAGGAAGACGATCAGAAAGAATTTTTGTAGAGTAGAGATTCCGAATCATGAGGAAAGGAGCACAGGTCGAAGCCCAAAACGACCATGAGTCAAAAGATATTCTACAAAGTCCTCATATCGTGCGCAAGTAGGCACTGGGAGTTCTCCTGTAGGTTTAGAGGTTTAGGGAGCACTGGAGTTCTCCTGGAAGGCAAAACTTGGGCAACCTTCGGACAGCAGGGCTGATGATTCCAGTCCAGTGCTTGCATAAGTCGTTTTTTTAAATCTTGGGTACTGCCCCCACCCAGTAATAGTCTATACTAGGGGTCATATTAAGGGCTATAAATAGCTATATTATAAGTATTATCCAACTGTTACTGAGTTGGGGCAGTACCCAACTTAAATCCCTGTTTTACATACGGATCGTCCTTCTTGTTTCCTGCACAGAACCACCAACCACAGCACTAAAGCCATGGCCACCTGACGAACGCAGCCATGCAGCCAAGCCCGATTCTGTTTGTACTGATGGGAAACTCTTTCTCCAGACCCAATTCACAATCGCACCTTTTACAAAGCAGCAGACATCGTCAGACCTGCGAAGCTACTAATGCCATCGGAAAGACCGTTCTCATGATTTGCCTGGACTCACATCATATCAACTACAGGTTGAATATACCAACTTCTGTAACCCAAGCTGCTTAACTAAGTTTACTTCAAGAGGGTGGCGCTTTAATGCTGAAATGTCACGTTTTTCCGTCCAGGGACGGCTGAATGGAGTTTGAGAGGGTTAGCTTTTTCGGGAGAACGAAGAGGATTCCTGTGCAGCATCAGACACGCATTATTTCTTTTGATGGCATCGCCCGGAAAGTGCAGGTTTTGAGAGTCCATCAGCAAGAAGCTCTTAATGGAATAGGTGCTCTGCTCCTAACCTTCTCTTCCTTTTCGCCCTCCACCACCAGCCGCTGCTGATGCTGTTTCCGCCAGTCTTATTGCTGTTGCGACTGCTGCTGCTACTGCGGTAGACAGAACCAGCAGTCTGTTGACGCAGACGCAGAAGGCCCAAGAGTCTTCTGCCAAGTGATTGAGAGCGTGCATCCAGGTTTCCGTTAAGATGTAAGTTCAGAGAAACTCTTGGGTTATTGGGGTGCTACAGGGCGAACCCCTCTGTCCGCAATACCCATGCTGTGGCTTTGGGAGCTTTGTTTTGCGCATAGATTCCATGATGTTTTCCAACAGACAATGCCCTGAAAGTTTGCAGCACGAGGGCCTGCAAGGCATGATGTGCTGCAACAAGCCGCATGTGCATGGAGAATCAGAACCGCAGCAATGCAGCAGGTGTTACAGTACGACATCGACGCTATGCAGGACGTCCTCTTCGCACTGATACCCAAAGGCATGAGCCTGCCAACGGCTTCGCCACTTGTCCTGCGTTGAGGCTTTAGTCTTAGGTTGACATTTTCTGTAAGCTGCAGCACATTTCTTCACCCAGGGTCTCGTTTTCGGTTCTTATGTTCCTTTTTCGCGGGTCGAAACCATCATCCAAAGAGCACCTGACTCGCTGGCTCCCTGTGATAGATTCTGTGATCTCGTCATACGAGCTCCAGTTACTGAAACAAGGTCAAGCCGGGAACCCGAAAACCAACGGGGAGTTTGGGCACTGAAAAACAGTGTGGCTTGTTTAACAGGATGACGGTAATATGGGGAAAAGGCAAATTACCATTCTCATAAACCAATGAGAGCCTGACACTTGATGGAATTGGACTTCGAAGTTGGGGGGTCAGAGTGCGCAGGCCATAGGATAGGTGAGGATGCATAGCTCGGAGGTTCTCAACCAAGCCTTCTTTGGAGGCCACCTCTTCAACAACATTAATAATTGGGGTATTCTCCCCACCCATGAACAGATCCTGGAGTATAGGGGGTAGTATTGGGGCCTACAATTTCTACCAGGCAAAGTTGTCGAGGCAACCATGAACAAAGCCATGAGTATAGGGCTCGTATACGGGTTACTGTCGGGGCCTACTGTTTCTACCAAGAGCTGTCGGGGCTGTGCATTTTTTCGTGGTTGGAGATGATCAGGGTTTAAAATTACTTGTCCTCATTTGAAAATCCACTCACCCCCCGCACAGACCATATCGCTGCCCCCCTTGTCCCGCGGCAGATGTCCACCAGCCCCCTGCGCATCCGATATCGTGCACCAGCCCTTGCTAACCTCTCTGCGCAGACGATATCGCCCACCTCCCCAGGCGCAGACGATATCAAGCACCACCAGCCTCGCTAATCCTCCCGAGCAAACCCTTGTCCACCAGTCCCCGCTCACACCCCGGCCTAGAGGATATCGCGGTTCTTGTCCTCGTCCACCGCACGCCCCACCGCTCAGCCGCTTCCGCAGATGATATCGCCCCGTGTCCGCGCAGAATAACTGCAGAAACAGCCGTTAGCAAAAACGCCTCAGAAATCGCCTGACACTGGCCTGTTTCTGGAAGACTTGTGCCCCAGAACCCTGCAGGCAAGCGGCCCCACAGATTCTGGGGCGGTTTCCACCTAAAAATATGATTGGAGAGCACTACAGCGTCTGGTGACATTTGGCCCTGGATTTTTTCTTGTTATTTCAAAGCATTAAGAGCAGTGGCGAAAAAATCCAAAACTTTCGGGTGAATTTCCATTAAGGAAGAGGCTTCTAGGTTTAGATCCCGGGTTCCCCAGCGCGTGTCGCTAGGTCGTGAATTATGCGACGGGATTTTAGCTATTTTGTCGTCAAACGCGATCACATGCTGGCACGGTGGCCTTTCAGCAAGTTTTTGGCCCTAAGCAATTCAGCACTGTCAAAACTGCAGGGTGTAATATGTTTTCCCACTTGCTCAGGCGTTTAACTGATGCACAGGGGCAAACGCTCCTGTGCAGGGATCTGGGCAACCAGGGTTCTGCTCGCCCTGGACATCTACGGGATGGTGCTACATGCTGAGAACAAGACAACCAACTATGCCATGGATTTTCACGGTGGCTTGATGAATTTGCTGGCTTCAGAATTTTCCACGGCTTAGTCAAACCACAGCCATGCCAACTGGCAAGCTGCATCGTAGAGCCAGCACCCAGGTGTGACCACACGGGTCAGGGTGGAAGTCAAGCTGCCTGATGGCGAACTCACATGGGTCAACGCCGGGGATGAGGGCAATTTAGAGGTCACTGGTCAACAGGCGCGGGTCGCCTCAAATTCCTGAGGCAGACGTGCTGATTAATATCAGAGGGAAGTGAGTCTAAACTAGTCTCCTTTTGGCGACTTGCCATTCAGCCGCCATGGCCAGCAGCTCCGCAGAAAGCGACTCAGAGACCCTTGAAAGTACGTGATCGTGCGATGGAGTCGGCAGAGAGCCTCGTTGCGTGGCTGAGCCGGGACCTTGGCATTGCTCTGCAAACTTTTCGCGGCCTGTCTGACTTGTTTTAACATGTTTCATCATTTTTCATCCATTTCATCATTTCCCAAGAGTAGCAGACGCACTTATTTTCCGCGTTCCAGAGATTAATTCTTTTTGATCTCCGGAATGCTGCCCAGTGGTGCCAGTAGCATTAGTGCCAGTAGCATTAGTTTCGGAGATTTTCATTTTTTGATGCTGAATACATTTTTCTTGATGTGCGGATTAACATACTTTTTGATGAGTTGGAAATATTGTTTACGCCAAAAAAAATTCTTTTGATCCCCCACCCACTCCAGAAGGACAAGCGGCGAAGCAGTTTTTGGACAGCAGTGCGGTGATGCATGTCAACAAGATGTAGGGGCTCATGCTGTTTACATGGCTTGGCGCTGGTGGCACACTAGGGCGGGCGTTTCAGCAGCTCATGGCTGTGCAGGAAATGTCAAACTACCGGGGCGATGATCGTCAGCCCTTGGAGGTCATCAATTACGCCAAGCTCTGTGTCAAACACCTGGGTGGCGATGCATGTGCAGGAAATGTCAAACTACCGGGGCGATGATCGTCAGCCCTTGGAGGTCATCAACTACGCC